CTCAGCCTTCTCTTGTGGAGGCTGAACAGGTTCAGGTCCCATAGCCTCTCCTCATGATGAGAGCACTCATTTGGATGTACATAATTCCAGTTCAGGTCTATTTTCTTCCTGATTCATCCATGTAGCAATGCAGCAGGGTGCTCAAAAAACAGGGGCCATGGTGACTTTCAGTTGCCACTGCATCACTAGTGTCATTGCATAGCTGCCAGGGGGAGCCATTTCACCTCCTTTCCCAAAATTGGTGCCCAGGGTGGTTTCCTCACCCTAGTTATGCCACTGGCCTGATTTGGAGCAGGGATTTGATCTTGGGTCTCCCATCTACTAGTGAAATGCTCAACTATAAGGTTGTTCATTCTTTTGGGGTGAGGTTCTGTCCATTTCTCTTGCTGAAGCTTAAATTAACTATTAATTACAGCAAGAACAGAAATCTAGCATTCTCATATTCAAGGCGAAGTCTTTAGCCACTGAGCTATTGAGTCGGTCTCTTACTTTTTCCCTCTCTCTCTTTGGCCCAATAAAAAATTTAAAATAGTTTTGCAACATGAAACACCTTCAGCAGGAAGTGTTGGGAAACTCCCATGCCAACATACTTAATATCCCAAGGGTTAAGCCATGCTCCTGAGTTCAGTTTCCTGCTCCAAATAAGAGGGAAGGATTTGAACTGTGATTTTCCACATCACAGGCAGGTCTCTATTGCTGGCTATTGGGGTGAAGAGCATCACTTTTTTGCAAGAAATAGGTGCCCGAGCCAGGTCAGTTGATGCTCTTTTATGGTTATAATCTAAGCCACTCCTCTCTCCTCAGTATTTCTTGCTTGCTAGCTTAGGGACAGCCTTTTGTTCCTTACAAATATACTCTTCTTATTTGCCGGAAAACTAGTTGGGATATGACATCACAGAAACTGAAATTGGAGCATTAAGAGAAGTGGGCAAGTTTAGTCATACAGTTTCTCTAAAGCTGCTTTACTCACAAACCTGATGAAAACTTGGGAGAAAAGTTGTTATGAGGGGGGGAGGTCGAGGAAATGGCATTCTGTGCTGTTTGCAGGTATCTGGTCTTTAAAAGAGTCTCCCAGCGAGGGTTGGGGAGAGGTATGGAATTCACAATGGTTGATATTCCTAATACACCCCTGTTAAAAAAAGAAGAAAAAGGTAGGAGGAGAAGTAATATGATAGTATTGTTAAATATCTATTTTTAAAAGGCTATTAAAGGACAAAAACAAAATGCTTCTTTTCTTTGGAGTTCATGGTTAAGATATTAGCAGGTGGGATAAAGTGAGCTCTTGTGGACTGTTCTCCTGGGCTAGGTACACACATTCAAAAAGCCCAAGACAGAATTGCATGAAGTTGCATGGTTTCCTGTAAGTGGCATAGTTTAGATTGGTAGCAAACAGAACATATATTTGCCCTTTGGTGTGTGTGTGTGGGTGGGGGCAAGTATTAAACCAGGTTCCACCATTTTTAAACCAGTCTGTACCGAACTTCTGTTCTGTTATGGGTACAGACTTGTTTCCAGTCACTACCAGTAAAAGTGTAATGTCTGTACCTGGCCCTGGAGTCAAGTTCTGCTCCTAACAATGTTCTTGATCAGAAGAGTCTTTACATTTAAAGAAACAGGAAATTGAAAAGTCTTAATTTCTGCTTATTTTCAGCCATAGCAGCTCTAAATCCGGCTCTGATCATAAATTAAGTTACTGACATCTGGTTTGGGACATGAATCAAAAGCTTCCTGTGACTCCAGAGAACTGTGTTTGACTGGAGAATGAAGCCTAGGAGTGCTACAGCTTTGTTGAAAATGACTGTCTTTGTTAAAAGGGTTAAATCTAGCTTAGTTCTCTAGGTCATTAATGGTAGCCAGACTCCGTTTAATGCTTTGCCTGACGTATGCTAGACAGATACACAGGATACATGCCAAATGTATTTTAACAAGAGGCCTGCTTCTGTCAGAACTTCTGACATCAAATTACTGTTTACTTTTGCTTGCATCCATGGTAATGGCCCTATCCAGTTTAGTTTAATCAGCAGTTGACTATTACACTCCACAGGGGAAATCTGTATTAATATACATGTATATATATAGTATCTGACCTGTCCTTAAAAGTTCATGACAGAAATAAATATACTGACACTGAATAACTGATCATACTACTTTTGCCACCAAAACATCGTTGTTTAGATGACTTATTCTTGCAGATTCTTTATACTGGCAAGGTTCCTGTTCTTATCAAGGTATCCTCCACACAGAGGTATAGGAGGAATGTCAGGTATGGTTACATTTAGATCTCATCACTGACTTATCTCCCCCAGGGTAGGTGTTTGAACTCTGCCTGTGAGAAAGAGGTCAAATAGGGGTTTCATATTCATTCAGTTAATTACGAAGATAGTTCACTTCCCATTGAGGTTCTCTGGACTTGTTAACTGTGCAAGTGCAGCACTTTGATGTTTCAGACTCAGCATATTTGGGAATTGTTACAAAATAAGAGGTTTTATTACAATAATGAGTCTGCAGCTTAAAATAGTTCATTGTGACAGTTAGCTTGTCCTGAAAGCATCAGGCTCTACCTTGACATTGTTCTGCATTGGAGCACAGTGAAATGCCTCTGCTGAAGTCAATCTTAATTCTATATTTGTACATAAATGATTACTTTATTAACATCTAACATTTATATTGTAGGTAGGAGTGCAACAACAAAGATGTTTTGGGTCGATATCGATGGCTGATTATTAATGAGCCATGTCAACTGATCCCGAGCAGATTGCCAATATGCAGCCTAGCAGCTTTGAGAGCAGCATCAGGCTGGTAAATCTGTGGGGAGGAAGGGGCGTGGGGGGCACAGATCAAAGCCCCCATGTTGAGGGAATGGAGCTGAGGCAGGGCTAGGCACTGCCCAACCGGGGCAGGGAGGGGCATGGGACGGAGCCACGACCAGCTGGTCTGGGGGAGTCATTAGAGGCATGAGCCCCACAGAGCTGTGTGTAGGGCAAGAGCAGGCTGCCTGTTTGGAGCCAGGGGTGGTGCCAGGCTCTTCCCAGCAGGGGGGAGGGGCTGGGCCAGAGCTGCGGGCAGAGGTGGGGCAGGGAGCGGTGGTGCTGGGAGAGGGGTTATGGGGGGAGCTACTGTGAATTTTAAGGTGGCTGAGACCTCCCATAGCTTCCCCTCCCCGTGCTGCTGCCAGCCGCCCCACCTTACCTGCCCCAAGCGCAACCCCAACCCAGCACCCCTCTCCAGGAAGAGCCCAGCACTGCCCCCAGTCCACCCTCACCCTGTGCTCACATCCAGAGGGCACATACCCCCATGCCTCCTCCAGGGTTACATGCAGCAGCAGGAGCCGCTCCCCTTCTCCACCCCCTGTGCCTCTGGAACGAGCCACGTGCAACTTCGTCCCATGCCCCTGCTCCAGCCCCTCTCCCACTCCCTCCCTCATTGTGGGGACCTTGATCTGCCTCTCCCCACACACCTCTTCCCCTGCCCCTTATCAACTGGACACTGCTTTCCAGGTTGTCAGGCTGCTTTCCTGGCTGCGTGCATGCTGCAGCCGTGCACATGCACATGGCATTTATTGGCAACATTATCGGCCACATCAGCCAAAAAAAGCCAATTGCTGATAATGTCAATTTTCCTTTTATTGGTTCTGATACAATATGGACCAATGTATCAGTCCATCTCTATTTGCGGGCCTAAATATTTATTTACTGCATAAAGTCCTCAAGCAGATCAGGACTCCATTGTTTTTAGCTCTTTCTAAATGTTCAGTAAATGAAAGTCCTCCCTCTCCTTGTCCCCCCCCACCCTCAAACATTTTAATATAAGAGGCAAAATATACCAAGTGAATGAGACAAAAAACAAGGTGAAAGACAAGGCATGGCATAGGAGTAACAAAAATAATGGGTTATTTTAACACAGACTTACTGCATGCACTGTTCTTAGTTGTTCAGTAGCCACAACTTAGTAGTCAGATGAGTAACAACGCATTCCCTGTCCAACTTTCTATCACATGGCAGCTTTCCATATTTCTTCTTGGTATGAGCTACAAGGAGGATAACATGGCGGTTTCACAGATACTAGCTAGGAGTTTTCTCCCACCCATGGGAAGCTGTAAGGAAGAAAGTACAAAGACACATGAGCAGTCAAGAAAGGCCCCTTTGAAGGAGCAAAAACAGGAGGTGCCATCATGATATGACAATAAGGCAAACAAGGTTGGCCAACCTGTGGAGAACTTTGAAGTACCACATTAAAATATGCATTTTAAATTATTCTGTAGTTAAAAGTGCCAAAACATGCCGTTGAGTTCTCAGTGTTAATAGAGCAACTCCATTTACAACAATATATTTCACTGGTAAAAGGGAGGGCAAAATTATGCTCAATGAAGATAGATTTTTTACCAAATCTGACAAAGGTGGGAGGGAAAAGAAGGTAGCCACTGATTACTTTGAATTTAGTTTTAGTTCAGAATTATGTTGTATGTTAATTAAAGCTTGGCAAGTCCTATTTTGCTGTTTGCTGCAGAAATTGAAGAATGGTTGAAAGAAGTGGGAGAAGAGAACCAACTGTTTGTCTGATTTCATCGAATTCAGTTATATGCCAGGACTGTATGAGGATATGTAATGCAACCTATATTACTATCTCAGCCTAGCAGCTTTCTAATAGATTCCTCTGTCAAATCACATTATCATTAGCATATAACTGTATTGAGTATTTTTGGTTCTTACTTTGTTCCTTTCTTGATTTAGAGGCTTGCAGTGGTGCCTCCATAAATACTGCTGGACTCTGGTATAAAGGGAATTGGAGGGAGAAAGCAGCACCTGGAGAACTGAAGAATTCCAGATTTACAATCTTTTTATAAGAATAAAATTCTTAAAAATTCTTTGGGGACAGCGAGACATCTGTAGATGCACTTATACAATCCAAATTTGTCTTTTGCAGGGAAGATTACCAGGAAGATGGGTTCTGTCAGCCTTACAGAGGAATTGCATGTGCGCGAATCATTGGAAACAGGACCATTTATGTTGACTCTCTCCAGATGCAAGGAGAAATTGAAAACCGAATTACTGGTAGGATCATACACCTCTGTAGTAGGACAAAAAACATTTGTTCGAGCATCCAAGACAAGTACAAACACTGTTAATTTTATAATCATGATATCCTTATTTTAAGATTTGAATAAACAACCCCTTTTCCCTCTCTTGTGTTCAGAAAACCTTGCCCTCCAAGAGGAGGGCAAAAATCTCCTCTTGTTTTAAAAACATTTTTCAGCCTAAGTGAAATGTCAAAGGCTTGACTTTTTAATAGCTTGAAATTTATATTACAGCCTTTTACATTACTGATTCTAAGACAAGCAAATTTTAAAACATCAGATACATTCTATAGAAATGAAAAATGATTGTGTTTTGGCTTTCTTGAAACAAATATGGTAGTTTTTTTCCTTATGCTTCATCCTCTGTTACATCCCAGTAGAGTTCTAATATAATTAATTTATGTAACGTAAAATTTGGCCTTCTTATACCCTGTCCCTGTTGATTTTTGCCTCTGAGTACTATTTTGATACACACTGGACATGTCTATACTTGCACTTTAAAGTGCAGTAGACTATTTTACTGTGCATTAGAGTGCCATGGCAAAAATGGTGCTAATACACTAAGGCACAGTAAAATTAGGCTACTGCACATTAAGTGTCACTAAAAAAAGTGTGTGCTTTTGCTACTGTATACTAGGGCAGCCTCATGCACATTTAGTAGTTAGAGGTACTAACTTTAATGTGCCGTAGCAAAAGCTCATTAATGAACATGTAGATGTACCAACTCTGAAGCATTTGGTGCCCAGAAACTTAATGACTTTTAATGCATAGTAGTTCAACATGTAATTTCTGGGCCACATCAGAGTGACCCGTAACATTAATAGCAGTGTTTCTAACGCACCTTGATAGAACAGTTAGTGGACTTCTTGGAGCAGAGAACAAAATGGATGGAACCCTGCTGCCAGTTAGCTCACCATTTGTTCACATCCATTCAAATAAGTTCCACCCCCCCCCCCAAAGCAGAAGTTTGACTTTGTTTCCTACTCATTAAAACCAAAATTTCTAGTAACTAGAGATAGTGCCAGAACACAAAATTTAGGTCCAAACTTTGAAAACCCTTATGTTCTGTGTTCTTCAGGGTTTGACTCAAGCTTACCTGCTAGTAGGATACTTTTTGCTTTCCTACCATCTACTGTTACTCTACTCCCCTCTGTCCTTTTTACCAGTGAGCAGTGCATACTTATTTGCCATTCAATGTCATCTTCCTTGCCAGCACTTGAATACTGACTTTTTTAGCTATTTCAAAAAGTATACAATTAAAAAAAACCCCTAGAATCCAAACTCTTGAATAATCTATGAAGAAAAAGACAAAAATGCTTGCTACAATGACTTCCAGAGAACATAACTACTTTTTGATCAAAATAAATTTATTTTCAAATATGTAGGGCATGGACAAACGTGATCTTCAGCCTGTTGGTTCAGTAATACTGATGGTTGAGGAATTTAGGTTTGGTTATGGAGGCTTGAAGTTGAGGAAGGTTACGGATGGGAGTTCTCTTTAGTGGTAGGCTCAATACATGACTTATGCTGTGATCCTGCCAAGAGACATGTGCAGCCATTACCCCTGGGCTCACATAAAACTTCACTGCCCACCGTGGGGCTTTGTGCATGTGCAGGGGTGCATCTAAGCCAGGCTTGTCCAACATACGGCCCATGGGCCGCCATGCAGGCCACCAAGGTGTTTTCTGAGGCCCGAGGTGCTGCAACCGGAAATGAAAGTAAACCTGCTGAAGGGCTGGGGAAGAGACAAGGTTCCCACGTGCACTGTGTCAGCTTGATGTTGCCAACGCGGTGCATGTGGGAAGAGGAGTAGCCATGTGCCACTCAGGACAGGATGAGCCCAGCCGGAGGAGCAGGGGCTCAGCTGCATTTTCCCCCTACCTGTGCTGGTCAGTCCTGAGTGGCACACGGCTCCGCCACTGCCTCTGCTGGCTGTTGCCGACCTAGGTGGGTTTGTCCCATCCAGAGCAGCATGCAGCTGATGCCGGATTCCCACATGCTGCTGGGAACGGGAGGAGGCCAGCCAGGTCGACACCGGCCAGCAGGGGCAGCGGCGGAGCCGTGTGCTGCTTGGGACTGACCAGCGCAGGTAGGGGGAAAATGCAGCTGAGCCCCTGCCACTCTGGCCGGGCTCGTCCCATCCCAAGTGGCACACGGCTCTGCCACTGCTTCTGCTGGCCTGTGCAGTCCCGGCCGGGCTCCTCCCATCCCCAGCAGCTTGTGGGAAGCCGGCTTCAGCTGCATGCTGCTCTGGATAGGATGGACCCAGCCAGGTCAGCACCAGCCAGGAAAAGTGGCATGCAATTGAAGCTGGCTTCCCACATGCTGCTGGGGATGGGAGGAACCGGGACACGTCTGCACCGGCTAGCAGAAGTGGCGGCAGAGACGTGTGCCACTTGGGACAGGATGGGACGGGACAGGATGAGCCCGACCAGAGCGGCAGGGGCTCAGATGCTTTTTCCCCCTGCCTGCACCGGGCAGTCCCAAGCAGCACATGGCTCCACTGCCACTTCTACTAACCGGTGCCGACCTGGCTGGCCTCCCTCCATCCCCAGCAGCACATGGGAAGCCAGCTTCAGCTGCATGCTGCTTTTCCTAGCTGGTGCCAACCCGTCTGGGCCCATCCCATCCAGGGCAGCATGCAGCTGAAGCTGGCTTCCCACGTGCTGCTGGGGATGCCCAGCTGGGTCAGCACTGGCCAGCAGAAGTGGCAGTGGAGCCTCCTGCCTTTTGGGAACAGCTAGCGCAGGTAGCGGGAAAGTGCAGCAGCACATAGGGAAGCCACCACTTGATAAGGGACAGCGTGGGCTGGCCGGGCTGCACCAGGGTGGGAAAGCTGTGGCTGAGCCCCCTGCAGCTGTGTTGTATGCTTGTTTAAGACTGAACAGTATGCTTAAGAATAGAGCATGAATGATCTGGGCTCCAATGTAAATTTGGAGCAGGTAAAAATCTTTGTAAAAATACTATCCAGTGTTTGGATTGTGTTTGCTTCTGTTTCTCTTTGTGGGGGATTGGGGGTTCAACTTGTTACTACTTGTTAAAGATGTGTTACTAACAAGTTATTAATTCAATAAAAGTAAATCTTCTTGATGTTTATTCTCAAAAATGCCCATATTTTGTTGCTTTGATTAGTTTCCACTCTGGCTGATATCTTTTCCACATTTGATCTATCAACTTGCATTATGCTTCTTTTATTAATTGAGAAGTGAGTAGAAGTGAAAGTGTTTATTTTAGTCAAGTGTATGGTATTATTTCATTGTTGCTTTTATATTTTTTTATTTTGGATTTTAAACCACATTTCCAGACCCATTTCATTGTCACTTCATGCAACTTCATTGGTGTCAAAGGTCACGTGACCAGTTCCTGATGTAATACCGCTTCCTGTGAGGTCTTTGAATAAGGCTCACCGGTGCACTGGGTGATAAAAAATTGATGATCCGGCCCCACATTCAAAAGGTTGGACACCCCTGATCTAAGTAGATGTTTCAAAACCAAGGCCCTTATAGTCATGAAAGACAATCATCCTGGACTACAAGGGATTCCCAAAGAAGATTGCATATGTAGATTGCATATGAGAAGGCATAACTAAAGTGCATTTTAAAATCATGTGAATTTAAGAGATGATTACCAAATACGCCTAACAAAATCATCACTCTAGATTTTACAATGTGCTCAGTTGTTTTGAAGGTTCTTAAACAGAACATTTCAGTGTGCCTGGAAAGTCATTGGGGTGTCAGCATATCTGGAAAATCTTTGTATAAATACGTAGAATTTTGGGGGACCAATGTAGTTTGCTTACTAAATAAAAAACCGTTTTAAGAAAAATCATCATTTATATTGGGAAGTGTACAACATACTGAGAAGGTGACTCTGTGTGAATGGGTAATAGTGACACCTACTGTCCAAATTTAGATTATAGTCAAAAGCAATACAGAAAGCACCATATCTACAGGGAATTTTTATTCAGGATTCAAGAACAAACTTTTTCTTCTGTGCTAACAATTTTACATTACTGGAATTTCTTCAGTTATTTCAGTGTTGCCAACTCTTGTCATTTTAGGTTGACTCTGAGGATAGATGATGTTTTTCTTAAACCTTCAGGTCCCAGTGTCATGTGTCTTTGTATCCCAGTGCCCTCAGCTACTTCAGTTTCTGATGAAAATCTTTCATTCATCTCTGCCTGTTTCTGATGGTGCAAAGCCCATGCCTTGGTAAACGGGAGTAGCAGGCTAGAAGCTAGGGGCAAGAAAACTGAATGAGGTTTAGGAAACATTAATTGTTGATTGGGTCTTGGGGAACATAGGCATTTAGTAGGGATGCAGAGAAGCTGGGTATCTGTGACATTGCTCCCACTGTCTCTCTGCCAAGTCATTTAGGCCTGGATGGTTCCCACAGTGCACTCAGGCAGCATCCCCAGTGTTCTTGTGCATCTGCATGGACCATTTTAGTCCCATGCTCTTGCCACATAATCCTATTCTGTCTATGCCTCCCATCAATGTGAATAAAATGCTGCCCATGAACACACACACATTCACGTTTACCCTTCTTTCTAACCATTACAGGTAAGTGCATCTCACAATTCCCATATGCGGTCTATTAGCCTGCTTTTCTTTGCACACAGCAGTGCAAACTTATCCAGACCACTATTCACGATGGAATTGATGCAACAACATGTTCATATATCAAAGGGCAGAGATATCCAAGCAGTAAACAGGGTTAGAGTTGAAGAAGTAGCATTCTGGCTATTCAGGAAGAGATTGATGATACATTTGGTGTAGGTAGTAGGAGGTTGGTAGCTGAAGCTGGCTGAAGAGAGGGACTGGAGATAGGCCTGTTGAGAGTCTGTGGCTTAGGGTCACAGGGGAAAGCAACAAGGGTGATGCCATGGTGGGGTCTGCTATAGACCACCAGACCAGGAGGAAGTGGTGAATGAGGCTTCCTTCAAACGGGTAGCAGAAGTTTCCCGATCACAGGCCC